GGGGGGGGGGGGAGGAGGGGAGGCCTGGTGGGTGCTGAGGAGGCGCGCCATCTGGGCGAACCGTTAGCATCATCCCTGCCGTTGAGTGTGGCCACCGCGGAGATGATGAGGGGGGGCTGGCTGGGTGTGTGTGTGTGTGTGTAAACACGGTCTTCGTGTCGCCACGCCAAGGTCACTGTATTGAGTAGTGAGGGAGGGGAGTGCGTGGATGCCCGATGGGGATTGCAGCCAGAGCCGCTGCCAGCCGCCGCCCCCCCACCCCTAACCCCCCCCTTTCCCCGCTGTCACTGGGTTCGCAGGCTCCGAGCTGAGCTGAGGAGGGTGTTTTCTCCCCCTTTCTAGGTGGCCCTCCCTGATGAAGCATTACAGTCCCACCGACTACGTCAATTGGTTAGAGGAGTATAAAGTTCGGCAGAAAGCTGGCTTAGAGGCCCGGAAGATTGTAGCCTCCTTCTCCAAACGGTTCTTCTCGGAGCACGTAAGCACCTGTTATATTATGGGGCGGGGGCCGTGTGTGTGTGTGTGTGTGTGTGTGTGTGTGTGTGTGTGTGTGTGTGTGTACACGCGCCTTGGCTGCTCGGCTCTTACTGCTGTGTCCCCTTTCAGTGCTCACACAATCCCTCCCTCACATGGCTACAAGAGTCATTGTGCCCCCTCTCCCCTCCCCTCCCCTCCCCTCCCGCAACAACACGGAGACATTTGTCCCTGCCAGCCAGCCCTACTTTTCTAAAGCCAGAGAGAGTGGGGTGTTGAGGAGCCAGCGGGGCAGGGATACCCAGGGCCAGGGCGGTGTCCACGGGAAGCGTTGTTTCTCTTCGAGATTGTTACACACGCTTCCCCTCGTGATGTGGGAGGAGGCATCGATGATTGGATCCTCCAAAGCTCTTGCACTGGTGTTCCCAGGGAGGCTGCCGAAGTCAGTGGCGCCCTGCTCAGTAGGGAACTGGCGTTATTAGTTGAGGGAGCGGGGTTAAACGCTGCCTGTGGGGTCAGTTCCATTGCTGCCCCATGGCAAACTGGCGCGCATCCGTTGCTCCTGGCAGGTCAGGATTTGTGTTAGCACTGCTGCTCTTTGTTCTGTGAGAGGAGTTTTCACCGTGTAGCCCAGGCTGGCCTTAAACTCGTATCCAGCTTCCTCCTGAGGGCTGGGATGACAAGTGAGCATGGTCAGGCTTGGCCCAAGTTGTATGTTGCTTTTCTTCACTGGCTGAAGTGTGTGTTTCTGGTATGGTTTGGGGTTGGTTGTCTTCCCTTGTCCAGAATGTCCCGTGGAAATCAGTGTCCATTCCTGACGCTACTTTGCGCAGGGCTAGGGAATTGTCCCCGTATGGTTCAGTTCCTCCACAGATTGCAGCTGATATTTGTTTTGCTCTTCTGCTTTGACGGAGGTTGTCTTTCTGAAAACCGCTTCTGACTTTCCACTCG